TTAAGAGAGACACCAAAAAAAGGTTTCCTGCATTCATCGGAACTAAGAGGAGAAGAAAACGAAACAGCAAGAGCCACAGGAAAAGCTACAGTATTAGATACCTTTATTGTTTCAGTCTTCAAAGAAAAATAAAAACAAGCTTAATTCTCACCAGCTGCCCAGCAATGAGGCAGAAACACAGCACAAAATAAAGACTGTATACACTAAAAAAAAAAAAAAAAAAAAAAAAAAAAAGGCATCAAATATTTAGTAGTGTTGAACACTATTTAGTAGTGTTGAACACTCTGGTATTGAACAGGTAAAAGATTCTGAAGTGCTAACAGCCATCCCAAAATCTCCTTGAAGACAGTGGGGACCTGGGACCTGGGCACCAGAGGAAGGGAAGAGATGAGCTGGTCACCCAGCAAGGCAGAGTAAAGCAGATGGTCAGGAAGGTGCAACATCAACAGGCTGAAGAGTCTCTACACAAGCCCTCTGAGGACACCGGAATGGGAAGAGACAACCAAATGGCATTGCTCAAGAGCAAATTGGGTCACATAGCAGCCTTTCTGACAGGTATCTGGCTGTGTGGTTAAGAAGGAGGCAGCTATATCCAGTTTCAGCATGGTTTTGAGCACTGTTTTTCATGTATTCCTTTTTCATATAGGATTTTAAGGCTGCCCTACATGATGACAGGCTGCTGAAGAAGATGAACATGACTCCTTGCAGCTTTGACTTGCATGTTTACTCATTTATGTACATCCAGAGAAGACACAGGAGACAGTGATCTTTATCTTGTGCTTTGTGGGCAAATGATCTCAAAATACTTTTTCTTCAGAGATTGCCAGTAATTGCTAGAAATGCCCAGTCAAGAACGATAACTGCAGCGAGGCCAGGCCAGGTAATGGCTCCCATGCCATTAAAATTATTAGCAAACAGCAGGAGATAAAATACACCCCGAGGGATCTCCTGCGTTGGCTCTGCTGCTGATATTTGCTCAGAGTGCCTGGGGATGAGCCAACCCGGGCTGGCATTGCTGTCACCCATCTGCTCTTGCTCCACAGGGGCAAAACCAATCCACTGTCTCTCCCTGGAGCTTACAAGCCCCCCATCCTCCTGAAACCGTCCCCACGATGGCTGGGCTCTTTCCATGTCATGGTTATCAATATCCAAGTTGTATTAGTGTTTCTCTTCTCTCTCAGCAAGGATGTCACCTTGCCAAGGGCTGGGAAAGGCACAGCTAAATGATTTTGGGGGTGTTCTGACATAAAAGGCTTCCAGTCACCTTCATCTCTCCTCAGACTTGCAAATGCCAGCACCAATTATTCAGAAATATGCTTTTTGCAATGACTGCATCCAGGTTGGAGAGGAGGAGCTGGCCTGGGCCAGTGGCATGGGCCCGCCAGAAGAAATGAGCACCATGCCACAGCAAAGAGGTCACCAAGGTGACAAGAGCCAGTCCCACCTGAAGAATGTTTGCTTCAATAGGAATTCCCCACCACTGATGCCAAGAACAAAGCATCGGAAAAAACATGATGCCAACTTTGGCTCCAAAAAACCTTTTCCCTTTCTTGTTATCCATAGTCACAAATAATTACCATTGCAAGAGTCTCACTGGCTCTTGCACGCCAAGACCCCTCTGTCCTCTCTGGAGGAAAGCCTTGTTTGGATTTGCTGACATTCTGCTTACACCTTGACTCCTCCTGATGCCAATGAGGTTTTCTGACACAGTGCATCAGTCTGCCTGTGGTTGTTTTTCAGCACTTAAGTAAAGAGCAGCAGCACCGTGTTTACAGAAGTGCATTTTGCCTCTTTGCTCTCCTGCAGCCTGCTGAGCTGCTCTGAAGAAGTGGCTGTGATGCTCATCCAGTTTGCAGTGACCCAGCCCCCTGGGTGCTAAATGTCACCCTTCCTTTCTTCTGAACTGGAGCAGACCCCTAAACCCATCTTGTCCATCTTATTTCCTCCTAAGAAAGGTGTTCAAAGAAAGGTGCGACTGTGGAGCTAAGCTGAAGTACTTGGGGCAGGGCAGGTGTAGCAATACTGAGGGCAAAATCCACCAACAAAATACAGAAAATACCGGCCATTTATCTGTGGCCACATCACTCCTTGTAACAGCTCTAGTTTCATTCACACTAAAAGTATCTTCAGGTCTATCTGAGGAACCCACAGGACACGGAGGAGGCTACAGAGGAGATGCTCTGAAACAGAGTCAGACTGATGGCTGGAGACAAGGTCCCTCATTACATTCACAAGTTAATATTCTGTTGTCATGGGCAATATCAGAGGTTTTAATGGATGATAGGTTGCCTGCAGCCCATGGATTAATTTGATGACTAATTTTTCAGAGTTGCTTGCAGTTCTTGAGAAGGAGAATCAAAAGACTGAGGAGCCTCATCTTCAGAAAAGCTCAGGTCTCACATCAGCACTTGGATAATTTCTCTGCTTTTCCAAAGATCCTGGAGCTCTGGGTGCTGTGCTTTACAGAAAACATGGCCTCAAGTAGCCTGGTATAAACTGCAAAGTGCTGAGCACTTATGACCATAATTTGCTGCTTACAAGGGGAATGAGCTGAAAAGCCCAGCCCAGATTATGGGTTTCAAATACTAGAAAATCTGTTCCTGAGCTCTTAATCCAGGTTATAGGCTCATCACAAATGGAGCTGAGCCATTCTTGGAAGGAAAACTTGGCAAAAGCAGTCTTTCTCCTCTGTATCAGTAGAAACTGCATTCAAAGCTCAGGCCAACGAATCTAGATTGGGAAGTAAATAAAACCTGTAACAGGCTCTCTCCATGACTGAGGGAAGCAGTGATATCGGGGCAGCAGCCAGAGCTAATTGCACAGGAACTGGACCGACACGGACACTCACTTCTCAGGTTGCTCTCTAGGTCACACGCCTGGATGGGAGCAGAACGCTCCTCGGCTCCAGTTGAGCTAATCCTGCTTGTGCCCAAGAGCTGTCTTCTGCAGCCCTACCCAAACCAGCAGGTCGTGCCTTGATACCGTCAGTGCATACAAACATCTTTTCCCTCTGCAGAACAAGGCACGGGAGGAGAAGCTCAATTCTCCTCTCCCAGCAGCATTGCATCAGTACAGTGTTACTGAGGTTAATAGAGTTGCTCTCCCCCTGGTTACACTTAGTGGGAAGAAAAAACAGACCAGAATGTGGCTATTCTTTTTAAAAAGTCTCTTCTAACAATAGCTCTCTTTCAATAGCTTATTTACTGCCCATCTGTGACTCCAAGGTAAAATCTGCTCAGCTGTTGATCTAAAAGACTTCCCCTTTACAGCTAATCCTCAATGATCCTTGCTGTTCTCTGGCAGCCAGGCTGAATTCTCTCTCGATCACCCACATCAGTAAATCATACATTATCTGTGCTTGAATTTGGTTAAGATTCTGGCTAATGATGCGTGAGATAGAAGAGGGCTCAGTCTTGGTTGTACTGCTCAGTAAAACTGGTTGAAGTGAAAATAAATAGCTAAGATGGATTCTTGGCATTAAAAATCAACTTGCCTGATTTACTGCATGGATAGGAGCAGATGCACTGATTAAAAACATGATGCATTTGTGGAGTCTCACACATCAGCAAGGGAAATATGAAGTGGAAGGGGCTGAGAAATACTTGCTGCCAAATAGACACAATGAGTGCCATAGGAGAGCGCCTGTACAAACTCATGGGCACCTCGCTGGGAGCAAGCAGAGAGCAGAGATATTCTCCTAGCCCAGGAGACCTCCTCCTGTGCCAGGAGACCTCAGGCAGCGGCAGATGTTCAGAGGCAGTGCACCACAGGCCAACCTCCTCCAAGGCCTCTCGCCACCCGCCTTTTCTCTTTAGCTTAGCACCATCTAGAGGGATGCATCTGCAAACCTAAGGCGGCAGCTCTGCGGCAGGCGTTCAGCAAAAGCTAACACCCATCTGAAACACACCGGGTTTGGAGCCGGGGGGGAAACCAAGCGATCGAAAGCAAAGCCTCTAAAAAGCAGTTTACTCCTCCAGCCGCCTTCACTACTGGTCGAAGCACAAGGCTGTGGTGCGGTCATCCCCCTTGTCCTGGTGAGCTCTTCTGTGAAATGGAAAGATGGGTCCTCCAGAGAAGTTTGGAAGGGGGAGAGGTTAGGTGGAGGAGGCCTGGAGGGAAATGCTCAGGGCTTGGGGTTTTTATCTTTAATTTTTTTTTTTTAACCACCTACAGTTCTTGCACCACATACTCCTACAGGCTTCAATGACATCTGATGATGTGGTAGGGAGTCCTCTGTGGTTTAGAGCAGAGGTCGTTCTTCATGTCTGCTCAAGCCTTTGCCTTCCCCTAACACCACACAGCAGCATGGCAGGACACCAGCTGAACTAAAGGTTTCTATGCTGCATTTTACAGTTTTCAGCCCAGTACGTCAGAGCTTACTCAAATCTCCCGACATGGAACACCAGAACAAGACCAAGGACAGGGTGGACTGGCATTAGCTCCTCTCTATCTCACACAGTGATCTTGCACTTTCTTCTGCAGCAGCTCGGGCTACTGACTTGCAGTGTCCATGAGATGCAATACCTGCACTCCGTCAGCCAGGCCTCTGGCCAACATTATATAATCCCAGGCAAGGCCATGGAGACCAAAGTCCAACCTGCCTGAATCCGTGAGTGCTTGGTTTGGAGACAGGAAGCACATTGCCCTGGTCAAAAGGCAAAGCAGAAGCTTTCAGAATTCACCTCACTTTGAGATTAAGGAATACATACCAAGCATAAACAACAGCAAGGTTTTGCAAAGGATACACAAAGCCTGCATTTCTCTTAGGAACTGGCTGCAGTCACCCTGAGGACAAAGACCAAGCAGTGCTCTGGAGGTGGTATGGGGGAAAGACTATGGAGAAACCAAGGCCAATGTTACTGCCAACATCTTGTCTGCTAGGGGTGTCACCCTTACCTTCCCCTGCGCACAACAGGGCATGGTATAAGAGGGTTTCAAGGTCTGTGTGGGGGAGGGAAAGACATTCTCATCCCTGCAGGGCTCAGACAGCAGCAGAGAAAGAGAAGAACTGTCCCTTTCCTTCACCCCTGCTCCACACAAGCAAAGTGCAGCGATCCCCTCCAGCTCAGCTTCGCGATCGCAGCGCAAGCTTCACCTCCCCGCAGCGCAAACCCGGGTTCCTCCGTCAGCCACCGAGCACCACCAGCAGCTCCCCCAGCCAAGGCCAAGCCACCTTTCCAGCACGGGTGGTTCAAACCTCGGGTGCCGCTGCTCGGATCGTTTTCTCCTTCCCGGGGAGCCGCAGGGATCCCCCGCCCGGAGCCCTGCCCGGAGGCAGCGCCACACTGGGCCTGCCTCCCCGCGCGGGACGGTGTTACTGGAGCAACATCCCCGCGGCAGGGAAGGAAGGAGGAAGCCAGGCTGTAAAGAAATAAAACCACTGCAGAGCCGACTGCGAGAGGAGAGAGAGAGGACGAGACAGGCCGGCTGGGAAGGACAGCTTTGCTGAGCCCGGGAGAAAATGGTTTGAGTGATTATCAACGGTAAGGAAACCTCTCATTTGAGGCAAGAGAGCTTGGGGGGATTTCTGGACGGTAAATGCTCTGCATATTTTATGGCTTTGGCTTGTGGGGGGAGAAAGGCTGGTGATGGACTGGTCTGAAACACAGCCAGGACGCCAGACACCATAACTCCTTTTTAGCCCCTTCAATCCAGTCCCCTCCATTTCCTCTATTACTTTTGGCCATAACGTTGCCACGGGTCCAGCACAACCCCCAGGCAATCCTCGTCTGCGAGGATCCCCTGGCTCACGAAGACGTCCCTGCTCTGGGCAGTCTAGGGGGGCGTTTCTCGGGGTAGCTGGTGTTTTGCATTGCTGCAGCGAGCAGATGGGTTTCCCCTTTCCCTCCAGCCTGCCGCTATGTGGCCAGGAAGATGGGGACCCTGTGCAGCCGGGAGCACCAGGAGCCACCACCCTGCCTGGCACAGGCAGCCCCCCGCAGCCGCCACCAAAGTAAGTCTGCAGCTTACTGGGGACGGGGACATCAACACGCCTCAGCCCCGGCCACGCTGGGGATGGAGGGGCCAGCGCTTGCCTGGACTCACAGGCTGGCTGCCCGCTGTCTCGGGCAAGCTGCTGCCCTGCCCACAGGGGAGATGCGCTGGGTCCCCATCCCTCCCTGCCTGTGCTCCAGTGACTATAGCCTTCCTCAGAGCCAAGCCCTTTGTCTAAGGAAGAACCTTAACAAGTAGAAGTTTCATTTTTTCAAAAAAGAACTTTTATTTTCTTTCCGGCTTTATCTTCCCTCCCTGGCTTTTGCCTTTAAATGTCATGGCTGCATCCCAGCTCCTGACGGAGAGGATGAGCAAATAGCAGCCGTTGGAAGGGAGGACAGACTGACTTACTCTGGGGGTAATCAAAGGGATGAGTGGATGTAACCTGATGAGGCACCTCTTCCCCAGAGCTACATCTCCCTGGGGCAATCTTTGTTATTTCAGGCACCCTGCTAAATACCAAAATGCGTCTCCACGCACCCCAGCTGGCAGTGAGAGGTTTCTGTCCTTGCTGCCAATCTTCCCCAGCTCCTTCCTGGCCCATTTAAAACACATAACTTGCTATGACTTTGCAGATCACTCATGCAATGCCCCGAGAGCAGCTGCTCCTCTTGGCCGCCCCTGATCCAGCACAGCGGGTACGACAAGGTCCCTCCTGGCTCCCCATCCCTGTCCCAAAATGAGAGGCTGCTCCCGGCAAGGAGGGCTCACCAGGGAGCTGCTCCTGCATCTCCCAGCTACACTGCTGAGGCGTTAAAGCTCACTATCAAAATTAAATCATTTTTGAACAGCAGACAGAGGAATCTCACCATGGGAAAGATCTGCCCCACAAATACCAGTTTCACTGGTTCAGCTCAGTCGTTCCTGGTTGCTCTTGTGCAAACATGCCCAGAGCTGCACCCTGGCACCAACACATCCCCGGGCGGCTGCCACAGCACCCAGGTCCTGCTCCATAATTCCTGCCTCTGCCTTAGAGAGAGCTTAGGGCTGTCGCAGGAGACTCGCAGGGAAGATGTGGGACCAAGCCATTCCCTTTCTGCTGCTCCCCTGTGGTGTGTGCAAGGGGAGGAAAGGGAACTGCATGCCTAGGGGGTCCTATAAAATCTCCAGAATATCACCTTTCCCCTAAAATAACAGCTAGATCCTTAGAGGGAGTACAAGGTGAGGGAAAGGGGACATCTTCCTTCTCTAATACCTTAAGTGCATATGAAGGAAAAGCAAAGCATTAGTCATCTGGCCTGAAATAGGAGCCAGGACTTTGCAGATGCCCCGAGTGGGAAGATCAGGGCAGGCACTTGGGTGGATTAGCGAGAGGAACCAAACTCCTCCTTTGAGCAAAGAAATTAAGCTCCTTCTCTGCAGTTAATCCTGAATCCCCCACTTTTCTCTGATGCTTGTGCATTTGCAGATGTAAAGGCAGAGGTACCAGCAGCTCCCCAAGCCAGGAACTCGCTTCCCAGGAACAGCAACCCCATCCAAGACCAGCCCTGCAGGTCCTGAGGGTAAAAACCCTTGTGGTCCTCCTCTGAAGGCCACAAGTTTTCTCCCCACCAGTTTCCTCAGGCAACGCGTTTTCTGGGAATCCTGCAGCCCAGGGATCAGAAAATATCAGCAAATCCCTGCTGTATCTGTTCTCAACACAGAAGCACAACGATAGAAGATGTCCTGATTGGTCTCTTGTTACTTGAATTTTCTAGCTGGCAGAAAAAAAAAAAAAAAAAAAAAAAAAGCTTACCAACGAGTATCAGATGCTCCTGGCACTTTTGGGCCATGGAGTGCAAGAGGAAGAGAATGAGCCATTGTATCCTAGCAGCAAATACAATTTTTACAATGTGAAACCAAATTGTGATCCCAATGATTTTGGTACACAGACAATTTTCATAAAGGTAAATGTATCCATTCAGACAGTTTCCATGAGTAAAATCAGCTCCCGAGCTGGAGTAAGGAGTCTTAGAGCTTAGGTCTGTGGAAATCCCATGATGTTTTTTACAGCCCCCTTCTCCACACCCAGTAAGCTGGTGAAGCTGTTTTTACTGGGCAGCCAGCACCCCGGCATAATGCGCAGCACCCACAGAGCAGAGGGCTGCAGGGCCCGCAGTCGGATCCCCCCTCCAGCAAACCCCACACCGTCACGGAGAGTGATGACAGCAGAATCACAAACTCCACGTGTGGAGAGGAATCTGCCCGACCCCTTCCTGTGACAGCCCAAGCTGAACCAGAAATAAAGATGGATGAAAAGAGGCTGGTTGGGAGCCTGGTGGGTTTTCTGCTGGAAGGGGTTTGCTGTCATTAGTGTTTAAACAGACTGATGCTGTGGATCGTATGTCGGCACCACTGGGACTGGCTGCTGAGGCTCGTCTCACTGCTTGTGTAGGAAGAGATGGATCTTGTCTCACCATTGCTTGTGATAGAAACAGGGGAGGGAGCAGTCATCCTGCACCCCTGGGGAGAGCTGGCTGGAAGCTCCTGAGTCTCCAGGGCTCAGCCCTTGCTGCTGCCCTAATCGATGGTTTGGCCTTTGGTACCAAAACTCTTCTGGTACAATATCACGTGAGAGGGAGATGCTCAGTGGCAGGATGGGATGTACACAGTGGAGGGATATAGTGACCTTAATTTTAAAGCCTTCCTGGCTTTGTGTGGGGCAGGTGTCCCACGCTGAGCTTTGTTAAGGTGGGAGTGGCACAAGCCCTGCCTGGGGGGTTGGGGGGGGCTGGAGGAGAAGGGGAGGGAGGGAGGGCGAGCAGGCTGGAAGGCACAGAACGGACTCAAATCTCCCATGCACTCAGCCACAGCAAGGCTGGAAAACAAAGAACAGGGCTCTTTATTGTGACCATTACCATTTCCTATGACAGTTATCCCCACCAAAGCGTGTGGTTAGGTGGTCAGGTAAACATCAGTGCATGCAGGCAGTGGAATTTCATGGAAGTTCCTGGCTCTGGGGACAGAGGAGGACACCAGCAGTTCCTGGGTCATACAACACTTCTCCATTCACGGGCATCGCCTGAGAACACAACCTTTTGTAGGCTTACAGCACTTCATGGCCCACTCCTTCATGGATTCCACCCAAACACTGAAGTCTCCTGCTCACCACTGGCTCCTCTTACATGCTGTGTGCAACCGCAGCAGGGAGAAAGGAGGAAAGGAAAAACAAATCAGACATAAAGTGGAGTCTGAAATGAGATGTTCTCTGGGATTCCCTACCCAGTGCCCAGTGCCTTCTTTAAGGCTTAATCCCGTGGATCAACAAGAGGTCCATCACCATCCTCCCAAGGGAGGCAGTGGAAGCAGCAGGTACCAAGCACCATCCCAAGCTAGTTCTTAACTGGAAATTTTGCCAAGTCATCAGCTGAAACATTGTCTGTGTCTGTCACAGGACAAAGCTCATTGTCACTGACAGCTACGTGACACAAACACAACCCAGAGCAAACATTACATTTGCAGCACTGCTATACACAGATTTTCCCTGTCTTCCTTGTACTAAAAAAACCCCACATGCTTCATTTCGAAGGTGTGGTGCTGGCACCTGCAGATATTCCCAAGGCTCTCCAAGGTCCCCAAATACAAGCTGTGGCAAATTTCCCAAGGGAGCTCCAGGTTGTCCCTGGATTGTCTCCGATCCCCAGAGCAGCTCCTTCACACCAAGCCAGTGGGCAGGCAGAAGGTCTCAAAGGCAAGCAGCTTTCTGGTGAGTGTCTTGCACATTTTATTAGAGTCATATTTCCACTCGTTCATCCAGATAAGTCCAGGATGAGCAATTACAGCCCTCTCCTCTGACCCACAGCTTCTTCACACTGTTGCATATGGACAGCTTTTATTTCAGTGTTTTCCAGCCCCTCTGGTCACCTGCCTGTGAACCAGCTCTGGCGTGTGTTGAGCACAGTGATCTCGATGAACTGGCAGAGACAGGGCACACCGCTGGGCTCCAGGTGCCCCCCTGCCATGGCCCGAGGGAGCCGGCCGGTGACCAGCAGCCGGACGTAGCATCCACTGAAGACCACGAGGAGCTGCCGGGCCATCACCTGGGAAGAGCACAAGAGGTGTCAGAGCAGAGCATCTACCTGCGGGAAGAGCGGATGATACATTAAATAGCACCTGCTCCCTTGTTCAAGGACTGTCCTTGTCTGAAAGAAGCAGGACAGGAGCCAACGGCATATATAACTGCCCCAGATCCCCTTCTGGTCAGCAGTGCTGGCACAGTCCCCATGGGGCAGTGACACAAAATGACCACCCAGTGGTAGGTGGCTGGGGACCTGCCTGCTCTGTCACTGCCTCCCGGTGCCTGTTTTTGTCTGCGGACAGCCAGAGAGCTTCAATCTGCAGGGATGTCACCTGCACCGAATTCACTTAGTAACAGCAAGCAGAAAACTGTTAAATAAATCAAAATCATCCCTTTTGAAGCTTCTTGCTGAGCAGGAATGAGGGCACATTTGTTGCTCAGCACGGCACAAGTCTTTGAAGGCATGCTCCAAGGAGGAGACAAAGGCTGAGCATGGCCATGTCTCATCCCCAGACCAGACACAGCCACTGGGTCACCTGCACAGACCCTGGGAGAAGTTGTCTTCCAAACAGGGACCCCTGGCTACCAGTAAGAAAAAGCCCAATCCATTAATTCCTCAAGGATTAAGCAGTAGCTGCTCAACAGTGTCAGGGATGGAGAAGGTGTATGTGGACCCCCAGGCTTCCAGGTGCTCCTGCTGCTGAAAAAGGAGGTCATCAGGGAGGGATAATTCTCATTACCTCTGGTGGGCCCTCAGGAATGAGGTGGAGCAGCTCGTTGCATGTCACAGGCTCTTTATTTAGGTTCACTCCAGTGGATAACAGAGGGGACTCTTCACACGAAGCCTCCTCCTCCATCCCTGGGTCGGGACAAACCACCGCCTCCATAACCACACAGAGCTGGTCCAGGCTGTGCCGCAAGCCCGACTGGAAGAGAAAGAGATTTTGAGGGTCTCCAAAGGCAGGCAGCAGCAGTGTCCTGAGGACAGGCTTTAAAGGGCACAATTCCCTCCTGCACATTTTTTTTTTTTACTCCTGGGATTTATCATCCCAAGAGTAAAAAAGCAGCATTGACCCAGAGCCATGCCCAGCACCTGGAGCTGAGTGTCTTCATCCCACAGCCCTGCTGCCATCAGCTGCCTCTTGTGAGCAGCATGATGGTCACAGCCTGGCGCAGAGAATCTTGTCTTTAAAAAATATAGGACTTCTATCAGCCAATATGTGATCCGGTGTGTTACTGTCCATCCTCTGATCTACATCTGTCAGTTCATCCAGGGGGTTCAGCAGCCTTGAGATTTTCGGAGGGTTGTACCCCCTCACCCCTCATCCCACAGCCAAGGTCAGCAAGGGTAATTCAGTGCAGGAAAGTGAGGTGTTTTTATATTTAAACACCACATTTTCTGAAGGCCAAGAGAACAAAAATTGTATACAGTTATCCCAGTACAGTGTTTATTATTCCTCAGGCTATCCCATTTATTTCAGGAGGATAGCTCAAGGTGTCACCTATTTCAAGTTGTGACACACGCTTTCATAACTTGCCCTCGATTCTTGATGACTTTCCTTTATTGAAGTTGTACAGTTAATTATCCAGACACGCACGTACCACGGGGCCTAAACAAATTCCTGCTGAACTGGACACCGACAGATGCGGTTTATCCACCTCCCGGTCTGTCCAGTTCCCAGTTCGCAGCAGGGGATGCCCAAGAGGACACTCCAACACTCGGTTCTCTTTGCCCACCTCCATCCCGCCAAAGCCGGGGCGCAGGGCTGTGCCCACCACCGCTTACCTCCCGCGTCCTCTGCAGGTCCGTGATGTGGGCTGACAAGGACTGGAGGCAGCGCTCCGGGCTGAAGTGCACGAACCACAGCTGGGACAGGCAGGGTTAAGGAAGGGGTCTCTCCACATATCCCCCTCCGCCTCCTTGCAGATCGTGGTACGGACCCCACACGAAGCGGAGCAAAGGCAGGTGTTGCCCGCGGGATGCTCGGGGAATCAAATAACACATCTCAGGGCTAGTTTTAATCCAAGAGGGGCAAAACCTCAAGGTAAAGGGGAAGAACAGAGGGGTAGCAAGGAAGGGGGACATTGCCCCAGAGGGCAGCCAGTCCTCCTTGCACACCTCTTGCACCTGGGGGGGTGACAACCGGGATAACCCAGGGCCACTGCTCATCACGCATCTCAGTGACCTTACATCCAAATAAACTGGTGAGTCACATTCACCTAGGTCCCCTAAACCCCTTTTTCTGCTTTCCTTCCTTCCCTTCTAGGGATCCTTTCCATACATTTTTTTTACAAAATTTACTGTACTCAGTGCTTGTCTGCAGGATAGAGGCACTGTTTGCTAAGAGACTACCAAGAGCAACGTGTTAGGGATGTGAGTGCTGCCAGCTTTGAGAGCAGCTGCCCCCCAGAAGGCAGCCAAAGGTCTGCCCTTGTATATCTACTCCAGCTGCCATCATCAAAGGGATTCAGGAACAGCATAAAAGCTAGAAGGTGAAAATAGATCTGACATTGGAGCAGACTGAGAAATCATAAATCCTTGGGTTGTTTTCTGCTCTCAGGCAGTTCTGGGACATGTAGGTAGAGGTGAAGGCTCTTTGGATTAGTCTTCACTTACTGAAATGCAAAACCATGCTGGTCTGAACAAACGTGTAATTCTGGTTCTTAAGTGATTCCCCTTCATTCTGCATGACTTCACCTCTGCCCCTTTCTCTGCCCTTGTGTTTCGGCCTTAGTTCCTTCTCCATTTCTATTTCATACCTCTCTGTATATATGGGGGGTGAGTTGGGGAGTGGGGGAAGTCCACCAGCAAATCCAGGAGACCATCTCTCTCACCTTCCTTTAACACTTTCATGCTGTCTAAAAATTCTCTTCTTTCCCTTAAATCTTTATCTAGTCCAGAAAAGAATCTCTAAAAAAGCAGCAAATGAGCCTCCCCATACTTGGTTTCTTTAACCTGCATTTTTAAAAGGCCAGGAAGGTCAGAGGAACTTGGCAGCTACAGACCTGGCTGCCAGGCACAAGCCCTGTGAAACCGAGTTCTCTGATGTGCCTGAAGGAGGGAGCTCAGGGCTACAGATCACCCGAAGGGCAGAGGCACTTGGATGATGTTGGCTTAGTTTGTCTCTTCAAGGCAGAACATGAGCTCCCAGGGATGGGGACTCTGGTTTTCTCCCTGTTGATGTTTTTCTTGCCATAGGCACTTTGCTGTCACTCTGCTCATAATTAGAATAATCACAGTCATGTAAGTATAATACACTTCCAGGAATAATTGCCTACCCAAAGGACTAATCCCACTTCAGTGCTTTAGACTCATTATTTCCAGTTGCCTACAGGCATATCTCAATCCCCACTTATATAGGAAGAAAAAATACCCAATCCCTCATGCCATCCAATAGGCTAAAAAAATAAATTCTAGAAATCCCACCCACTGGAAATCCTCATGGATCATAATATCAATAAATACCTCCACATCATTAGCTACCCAGAAGGGGTATAAATGATTCCCTACAGAAAGGATACTTGTAGGATGTTGTGTGGCCCATCCAAGGCATCGGTAATCCCCAGTATTAAACCGTGCTTGATAAAGATTTCATTGACAGCTGCCAGCCTCACATCTGTATTCATATTTATCTATTAAAGAATGCAGGAAAAATTAATGCATTCTACATCAAGAGTTGGGCCAGTCTACAGCTACAAACTGCCGCTGGATAATCCCAAATCCTGCATCTCTGAAAGGAAAGCAGCAACAAGAGCAATCTACAGTCAGGCAGGATTGTCACCAGCCATCAGTATTGGCCTGGCCACCACCAGCAGATATCTGTGCAGCCAGAAGTCTCACTAAGGATTATATCTCTTACTGACAAGATGTCTGAAGTGGCATTGACTTCCAGTATCATGTTCTCTCTTTTTTCCCCAGCAGCCCCTGAGTGAAGGACTCCTTTCCTGAACCTCTGTGCACCCACACGTTTGCCAAGTTTCCCTTTGGAAGAATCATTGCACAGCTGTCTTTAGAGCCTTGCTCCAAAATCCATTAAAATCAGTGCAAAGACCCCTCGGGATTTTGAATCAAGCCCTTCCAGTATTATTCTTCAGATCTCTCCGTAGAAATTTCCATACTCCTGTGATTCCTACAAACAAAAGTTGACAACAACCAAGCAGTGGGTGCTGTCAGCTGGTTGCCTCTCATGTTAACGTCATCCCCCTGTTTCCCTCTACTGCCCAGTCTACCTCAGTTTTGTAATTTTACTACAACTTCTATGGGTTAGGAGTTGCCTTTTTGTCCCGGGCCTGTTGCAAGGTCCAGAGCATTGCAAGGTCCAGGGCATTGCAGCGACACAAGTAAACGATGCTGCTAATGGCTGCACACAGCCAAGACTGCAAGGACCATCGCCAGACGCAGGACGGGAGCCAGCTCTGCCAGCGAGCCCCCGGGGCTTCCCACCAGCCACGGGAGTGCAAACCACGCTCTTCAACAGTGGCTTGATCTCCAGGGACAGCAGGCACTTTGAGCCAACCTGCCGGGCTCCAGCACCTACTTTTTAGGCATTATGACACCTAACTGGTCTGTAAAACATCCCTTGCCTGAACCTGATCTCTGAGCCTGCTGTAAAAATATTCCTTCCTCCCCGGATAATTATGTTCTTTGTATGCATCTAGGAGATGACCTGGGTCACCCCACTTCGGTGGGAGGGAGTCCCGCTCCCACGCGCTGTGTGCCCGCACACAAGCAGCCTCCTCTCACCTTCCTCTGCCGGCGGTCGATAACCAGTATCACAACCACAGTGACTGCTACGGCAGCCAGGGTCACCAGCACGCTGGCCTCCCAGTAGCGCCCGAAGGAACAGAGCTGGACTGTGGAGTAAATGTTTGTCCAGAGAGCCATGTAGAAAACCTATAAAAGCCCAGAGAGACTGATGATACTCACAAAACTATGAAAGTGAGAAAAGTCAAGGGAAGAAGAACACTACCGGTCCCTTCTCCCAAGGTAGTACCTTACCATAAATCAAGTCACATGAGATTTTCAGAAGGTGAGAAAGGACAGAAGTTCTTTCCAATAATAAACAGGGGAAAGAAAGGACTAGAAGGACTGAGTGAGCCGTAGTTTATTATAAAAAATGACTGGTCATCAAAGACAGAGAGTGAATTATTAATGATGATTCATACCTAGGAAGGATTTCAACTGAGTTCTTCCATTTAGATAAGAAATGCACTCACTGAGTCATATTGATAATGCTTCTAATAGTTCCTGTATTTAGAAAGCTCCTATGTCAAAGCACTCAAGGTGGTGCAGACTACTCAATTACAATAACGCTCAAATGGTGGACACTGACACTGGGCTCAAGGACTGACAAACTTGGCCTTTGCATAAAGACAGGCAAAACTGAACTAATTTGGCCTTTGCTTCAGATAGCATGCATTTGGGCAGGAGATTGCCTAGAAGCAAATACGACATGTGCAGCACAGCGTGTCACAGCATCATCTTGCAATAACATAACTCATTCGCACTAAACAGGCACCAGAACCCTCAAAACACTGAGCATCAATTCCTACAATATTAGTGAAAGGAGAAGACATGTATAATGACTATCCAAAAAAAAAAAAAATGCAACTAAAATGAAGGAGTCTGATTTTATCACACCCTCTGCACATTGCAAAGTATCAGCCTTACAGTAGATGCTAATGCTTGGGGTCTCTGGAGGATCTTCTCTCACCAGAAGACAGGCGAGACTCGACAATCACCTCAGTAACCAAAGCTCACTGATCCATTGGTCTCAGTTAGCATCAGGACCAGAATATCTACAGATTTTTAAAATCAAGTTAAAGATACCCAAGCCTGATGTAGATACTACTACCTCAGCATATGCTGGTTATCCAGCCACAGCCAGCCCACTTTGTGGGACTACCAGTAAGGGTTTGGAGAAGGTACCTTGCCCTCCACCTACAGAAATTCTGTGAACTGGGATTTCCAAAGGAGCCCACTAGGATGTGTGAAAACCAGTATCTCCTCCTCACCCTAACCTCTCTCCTTCCCAGGGCACAAGAACCCCAGGTGCAGGCCTTGATGCATCTCAGCAAGTGCATGTCTGTGGCAAGCCTGCGAGAGACCCCACCGTCCTTACCACGGCCATGGCTATCTGGAACACCCTGGAGTTGTAGAACATGTACCGTCTCACTTCAGGCTTCAGGACAGCATCCTGGATTAACCTTCTCCACTGATCCGCTGCCACCTGGCAGGGAGCACACGGAAAACTAGAGTCACCCTCCTTATTTCAGGCTCTTAGTTCAGCTTGGGCAGTCACCCTGGGGGCACGGGGGCACCACAACCGCGAGCTGTGTCCCAGAGCACCCTCCCGCAGAGCGCACCTCCAACCTCATTCATACAGCTGTCACAGACCAAAAACTTGTGTCCTTGCCTCATTTCAGTGAGTAATATCTCCCTGGAAAGTACAGGGGAAGTCACAAGAGAAAACTACCTTTTTATGGCAAAGGACATGACAAAACAGATTGTCCCATCAGAGTGACTTCCAAGCAAATCACTAGAACCTATGTTGAATGGGTTTCTTCGTGAAGATTTAAGCCAGCATCATTACAGTTGACTTGCTGTCCATGGGGAACAGGCTGAAGTTGAGCTATGAGATAGGTCATTCTCAAACAAAAAAAAAAAAAAAAAGAGAAAAGCCATCTGTTTTGTGGGTGAAAATGATGCTGATCCAGCTAGCATTCACTCCTACAGGGTCCCCAGGGGAGATGACACATGAGGAACTTACCTGAACCCCAAGGGACTTCAGTTTCTCTGCACAAAGCTCCATGTCAAAGGAGGTGGCTGAGCAGTTGTTGTCCGTGCTGAGCACCATGAGCACCTGGCCATTGAGGGGTTCTGCAAGAGCCCAGAGGAGTCATGAGCACAGCTCTGGCATGGGTTTTTCTCCCAGCAGATAAGCAGCACATGGCAAAGGAAAGGCTGAGGAGCACAGACCATCCTGACGTGCTTAAATGGATCCAGAATCCCCCCTTGGTCATTTCCAAGAATATCACAAGGACCTTTGGAAGCAGCCTGATGCCCCTTGTAAGGAAACAACTTGCAGAAAGGGAGGAAACCCCAAACGCATTCCAGGAGTGAGCAGTCAGAGATAACATGGTGCTCTGATCTTCAGCAGGATAATGTCTTGCTTCACTGATCCCTAACTGAAAGGACAATGGACTCAAGCTGCTCAGGCTATCTACCTCTTAGAGAGATCCCCCATTGCCTACCTACCCCACCCACCACGAGAAAAAGCTTAAACAATCAGAGTGTTTTCCAATAATCACGTTGTCTGGGATGCGGCAGGACTGCCCCACAAGTCCTCCAGCATGCAGGACCCTGCTCCAGCAGTGCTCCAGGGCAGCATGGCTCTGCTCAAGGCTCTCAGTGTCCTAATTTCAGCTCAGGCTTAGGATCAGAGATGTAATCTAGAGACCCAAGTTGCAGTCAGGAGCCTAGAAAGCGTGAGGACAACCTGTCCTAGGTTTGAGGAACAGGCTGCTCAGAGCTGAGAGAGCAGCCTTGGAGTGGCACAGGAGAGCTGTGATCTCCAGGCATCCCAGCTGGCATTCATCTAGAGTTTACACAAGCTTTGCTACGTCAAGAGGAAGAGATTGGGTCTAAGGAAGTGGCTTGTTCAGATGAGAGCCTGTTTCACTGAATTGTTTCAGCCAGCTTTCCTTCCCCTTTGCAGATCTGGGGTCAGCCAGGTGTCCCCTGGGGCTGCTCCTGCTGACACAGCCACTTAGTGCTCTCCCAGACTGCTGTGCTGGCTGAAACACAGCACGCACTCACCTTTCCCTTCTCTCCCCCCTTATGTCCATCCTCATCATCTCTTCACTGCTCAGGAACAGGGGATGCCAAGTGAAACGAGCCAATTGCATTACCATAGGGCAGGACTGCATTGAGCCAAAAAGGAAGAGTGGACGCACCTGAAACGGCTAGTATAACAAGGTCCTGTTTGTTTGCTGAGGTTTATCTTCTCCCAACACAGAGCAGTGAAGGCAATGAGTATAAAGCAATAACAGAAACAAATGGCCTCAACCTTAGGCTCAGCTCCCCTGTTCTCCATGACTTTGGTCACGTTGCTCAGCACAAAGTTGGGCACCAAGCTGAGATTCCTGAGGTTTGCTCACACTGCTTGACCTCTGTGAGAGCCTGCTGGAGTGACAAGAGTTGCTTGGCCCCTGCAAAAACTGAGCACTATGGAGGTGCCATGAACTAAGCAAGTAAAAAGGTGCCCTGCTGAATGGTGCATGGAGGTCTCGGCGAGAACAGCCATCCATGGCACAGGCTTCTGTCTCTGCACAGCACCTCAGGCCGTTTTGGAAGTAGTACTGCAGGGACAGAGCAAACTGTTACCAGGAAAGGGAGTCACTTGGAAAGCACAGGTCAAGTTTCCTGAACATTTCTTGATTTTTGAAGGCCAAGGGAAGAGGACTTCCAGGGTCCTGCTTGTCAATACATGGATGTCCATTCATTCCTATATATCAGGATTTTCAAAAAAGTCAAAGTGTCTCCATCCCCTCTCCAAAATGCTGAAACATCCGTAACATTTAGTTACTTTTGCAAATGCGATGCTCTTCATGAACATCTTTGAAAAATCTGTCTTCTGCTATTTTAAGGGCACTGTACTCAATACTGCCTTTCTCCTTATCATCAAGTAGCTCCTCACTTACCTTTCACCCACTGCAGGGATCCTTCCTTTAAGTCACTCTTACAGTACAGGACGGAGGAAGGTGACCCATTTTTCTCAATTCCATCAGTTTGGCTTTTATGGGCCATGCTGAAGGTGCCTCTCCTCGAGTGACTCTATGTCGTATTGTCAGAAATTCAACACTTTGTAGATCTGCCTTATCTTTCACTGCTAAGAAACACCAATTTAGCCCCGAGGCAGCAGGCAGCTGGCTAGCTCTCTTCCTTGGGGAACAGATTGTGAAATCCTCATTCACACTCCCACTGATGACTTCCTCGAGATCCTGCTTTCCATGAGCAACGAGGCATTTTCTAGCCCTGAAAAGAGGAAAAGAAAATCCCAGATTTTGCAGAAACAGCAAATAAAGGGTAACAGCACAGACCACTTGGGTGTACTTTGCTCTTTGGACCCCACTCCCTGTGGATGTTATCACCAGGTAGGTGTTAGCCAGCCATGAGCGCAGTATGTACAAGCTCGCCTTTCGCTGCAGTTACCTTTTTTTGTTGTTGTTGTTAATTGGTGGAAAATTTACCCTTAAATTATCCTGACATTCTTAAGAATTCATATTTTGTAAACAATTAGACAAGGACCAGGCAGGATTTCTCCTTGTGAAGCCAATAGGCTTTTTGCTGTTGCTTTCAGCGGGCACTTTCAGAAGTGGAGCCGGTGTAAATGTCCCTCCCTGGAAGAGGTGCACCCACTCACTGACATGGTGGATAATTCCCCACCACACAAAGGAAGCAGTGCAGATAAGCAAGAAAAAAACATCCACTGAAAGCAGAGGCAAGCAGGAGCTCTCACCCCCCAGCAGTGAAGCCTTTGAGGGTCTCCACTTTCCTTTCCTCTCTCCTCTCCGCCACGGGCAGTGCCAGAAGCCGATGGGGCACGTCCCCACAGCAGGCACCGTGCCCACGGGTTTTCCAGGCAAATGCTGATGACGTAGGTCTCTAACCTACTGCCAGGACCTGTGGGTGGTTATTAAAGCAAATGCTGGGAAGATTGAAGATTACTTTTCAATTATCTTTCATTCATGTGACTCAGCTGCTTTCACGCTGGCTCTCCAAAAGTATCATTTACTTTTTAACCTCCACTCAGTCCTACTTTTGCACCAGGAGCCTGTTGCTGTCCCTTGGTGTAAGGGTCCCTCATGGATCTCATGTGCTCTCCTTGCAAAGAGGACTTCTTTATTTTTGACTGATGGTTGTTGCTGCAATTACCTCCTTGCACAAAGCCATCAGAGTCACCAGCTGAAGGACTCTCAGAAAGGAAATTGAAGCAAGAGAAACATCATGAAAGTTTCTTCTGATTGCAGAAAAAACCTGCAGAGGGCTGGAAATTCACACTTAAATTAATCCAGCCGTGGTACACGTTGCACAAGAGGTGTGCAGTGTCTGTACGTGTATGCAGGATGGGCACTGCACCCGCTTTTCACCGGCGCAGGTGAGGAGTGAGTCGGCAGTACGCTGAGTGCTGCTCTCCAGTGCGATTTCCTTGCACAGCCCGGGCAGCCACGCATTACAAGGCACATCTCCCAGCACCAAAAGGTGGATTCAGACAGTGAATTTTCTCACTTCTTTCCCCCTTTTGCCTTCAATCCCTTCAGGTTAGCATCCAACAGAAGGGAAAATGAAAAACAAGAGAGAAAAGCCCACACAAACCAGCAGCAAAGCAAAGAGTGAAAAAAAAACAGAGGAAACAAAAGAAAAACCTGATTAAAACCTACCACCCTGTTGTTGCTGCTGTCACTCAGCTAGAGATGAATGAAGGCTCTCTGGATTAGATGTTGAGAATTTTGAGTCTCTGGAGGACAGTCCCCAGGAGAAGTCAGCAAACAGTGCAGCAGAGTGAGGGCAGTGCAGGCTTCCCCACCCTGTCCGGGAGCTGCAGGAGGGAAAGAGCCTTTCCCAGCTGTGATCAGCCCGTCAGCAAAAGCAGCTTTGATTTTAGCTCTTCATGCAGCACAGACCTCGTTTGGCTCCGCTGCCTTTTACTGAAGAACAACTGCCCAGTTTTGGAGATGGGTCTCCCCCAAATCTTCCTCTGCTGCCCCCTGTGCTAACGCAAGGGGCATCCTCCCATCTCCTGCACTTCCCAGGCTCTGTGTCTCTACATCTCTTCTTAACCTTTATGCAGTGCCAACGTCTCTCTGGTTTCAGGCTAAGGACCTTTTTAGGACACCTCCAAGCCCTAGCTAGCCAGCAGAGAAACATTCAGCAAGTCCTTCTGCTTCATCTCCAGAGCAGCCGACAGAGGCTTACCTGGTCCAGCTCACTTCTTGGTCCTGGGGAGCCAGCTCAGCTCCCTCCTCCTCCTCCTCACTGTCCTTTATCTGCCATCATCCCACCCTGCACTGCCCAGGTGCCGTGCTGTCCCACTGCCAAGCAGGGAGGTCTCCTGTCCCACAGCCCCAGCCTGTGCTGGGGAGGTTACTCTCTTTCCTGCGTCTCCTGGGGACCACAGACTAACCAGGCACAGCTCACCGAAGGCAAAAAGCCTTCGCCCCCACGCTCCCTCTCATTACCCCAGGCTGCAAGCACCAACTTGCAAAATCTCCCATGCACATGTGACTTTTCCTCTAGGCTGGATTCAGAAAGGTGGTTTTAACCCTCTAGAGTTCCTCAGAAGTGCTTCCCCACTGAAGGCCCAGCCATGGGGAGAGATCCCACTATAGGAGTTATCCTCACCTTTTGCAGGGTGGGGATCCAGAGCTGGACCCAGACACTAAAGGCTGTGAGGAGGTGAAGAATGGCACAGGCAGAGAGGGCTGTCCTCCTCCTCCTCAATCACACGGGTGGGACTCACAAAGTACAAATCCCAAGGTTGCATCAGATTAGGTGCTGTGAATATATTAGTCAAAGCCAAGCATCAATGACAGGGCTGGAGAAATCAGAAGAGATAAATGAAGATCTCAGGGCTGAGAACGAGTCACTGTATCTTTAGCAAAATGTCGTGTTAAAGCACAGAGAAACAGGGATAACACGCAGGGTGGGAACTGGAGCCCTCCTCAAAACGGGAAGCTGTGCTGCTGATACAGAGAGCGGGTGCAAGTTTCCTCTCCAGCTTCTGGACTCGGATGAAAATCAGCAGTTCCAAGACACACAGTCAGACAGACCCCCCAGTACAGCTTCACGTGCTGGAGAAATAATTCGTTTTCATGCAAAGAGGCAATGCTGAGAGACACCGCAGGGAAAGGAGACTCATTAGCCTGGGAGTTGTGGTTTCATGGCTCACCAAAACATAGAGGATCCATGGAGGCTAGGAACAGAGTGCATCAAGTATCTCAGTGACAGTTAGTCTTAGTGAATGGGTAAAAAAAAAAAAAAAAAAAAAAAAAAAAAGAAGAAGCAGAAGCAGCTTCCTTGCAGTGCCTGTGTGCACTTCCTGAGGAAAATGCCTTTCTCATCTCAGGGGGGTGAATTTCTGCAGCCCTGCTTGCTCCAGACACTGCTGAGCAATGCGTTCATTACATCACGTGGCTGCATGGGCAACAGAACTGACTGCAAAGCTCCCTACCCACATGGGATCTTGTTACACTGCAAACTGGCAACTCACACAGTAACTGTCAGCCAGGTATTGAGAAAAATCAGGTAAATCTTGCTGTTGTCACTAGCTCAAGGCCCAGCTCAAATCCCCACCCAAGATAGAGGCATGCAAATCTTTAGGTTCTTCTGCAAATGCTCCTCATCAAAAGCTTTGGCTTCATTTCTTCCTCTTCTCTCCCACACAAAGATCCTGACAGGGAGAATATAGCGACCAAAGTGCTTAGAAAGAGCACTGTCAGCTCATTGCAAAAAAATGCCCGAGGCAAAACTCTGTGGGGGCAACAAACTTGAAAACAACATTCATAATTACCTGCAGCACATGTATCATACACCTCTTGTTTAGCAAGACGTGCATGTATGGGCTGATCTTGGCATCAAAACCTCATCCCATCAGCACAAGCAGAAAAATCCTGCTCATTTGGGAAGGGTACTGGGAAAAAAAAAAAAAAAGAAAGAAAAAAGAAAAAAAGAAAAAAGCTAATTCCAAGTTTAAAGCAATCCCAGTTTTGCTGCTCTGAAGCAGCAAAAATGGCCACACACTATTCAGTCTTTGAAAACTTTTAGACTGACAGACTTTCTCTCTGAAGGTTTTCAAAGCATCTGACTCATGCCTACCTAAGGAACCAAGTAGGAAACTCCACAGCAGCTTAAACCAACCTAAACGGAAGGCAAGGTTTTTCAGCTGTTTTTCTGAGATAGTTTTCCACCCAACCACCTCCCTGAACTTACAGCTCTGGCCCAAAGGAGATGATGGATCTGCAGGTCAGGTTGTAAGGAGTCAAGGTCTCCTGGCCTGACTCTTCCTGACTTCAGCAGTCATCAAGCTGCATGCCCAGAAACCTTTGGCAGATGTTAGTTTTCTGATCATCTTATTTAGGGCATAATTTTGATGCTTTTGTTAGGCAAGTGAGATCCTACCAGGTATCTTCTCAATCCAAGCAGCTATCCTGTAGCCACTAGTCCCACAGAATAGTCTACAAAATATTCTATGATTAATATATTCCAATAAACAATACAATTTAGATTCTAGCTGGGCAATAAGATGCTATCATATTTGCGTATATGCCTTTTAATCTGGGCTTCTGAAATGCAAAGATGTATCCATAACATTCCTATCCCACCTATTAATGGCCCTACCAAAACTTTAGCATTAGAAATTTACCCTTCTTAAAGCCAAGAACTGTAATTAACAGCAAATACAAACTCAATCAGTTAACTAGAAAGGAATTTAGAGAGAGTCAGGCAAAGTCTCACAAGAAATGGGGACCTATTTGACTGTAAAACAGGGAGAGAATGCTGGCAGGATCCCAACACAGACTAGAGGTGCTTCTGTTACACAGAGTCCAGCTGAAACCAGACCCATTTAAAAATTAAGGTCTGCAAACGAAAGTCTTCCAAAAATGGAAATGAGAATGAATGAAATGAGAACGAATGAAAATGCAAACTTCACTCCAGCGAGCATCGTGTCAGCTGTGTGTTCAGCTTGTGCTGGCTGGCAGGGGATTTGGGGATTTGTTTTATACAAATCAGAGTTAAGGCAGCCTGAGGTTCATCTTGAGCTTCACTCACTAGTACCTGCGAAGAAGCGTGTCCTGACTTACATCAACCCACAGCAAAGCTATTTGCAAAGTCTCCCTCTCTTACTTCACTCGCTCTTTGCCTATTTTTCTGCTTCCCAGTCTTAATTCCAATAATTAAGAGATGGGACACAAAGGGACACTTTCACCCAACCATCAAATGAGACTTCACCTTTTTTTCCAAAGCAATTGAAACCAGCTGCCAGGACCAAAAGTTATTAGGGGACAGAACCCAACTGCACAAGCCCAGGACGTGGGGACAGCAGGACTCCAGCGGTGGCGATGCTGGAGCCTCCACAGCCACCCGCCCGCAGCCCCCCACCCTTCCTGCTAACAAGCACTTCTAAACTAAATCTTTCCCGTTTCAAATGAAGCTGATCCCTTCTTCTAGCCTCAGAGAATCTGGTGAAAGATTAAATGTCTGTCTGCTTTGAAACAACCTCTAATTTATTTCAAGGCTTCTCCACTGTCATGGAGCCTCTAAACTAAATAATCCCTTGCCTCCCCATCATCATCGCTCTGAGCCACATTTCCCAAACCTCCCTGGGCCCTTCAATGCTCTATTCAAAGAGCAATTTTTCACCTCTTTCAAAACTCAGCATCCAAACAGGACACAGAGACCTCACCATATTCATGGCTGTAACAAGTCTTTCTCACCTCCATCTTATATAGGACACTTGTATCAATATGCTGTACAGCAGTGACTTCATTTCAGAACCAAAACACTTCCTGAGTCTGGGGGAGTTCACCCTCATCTTCACAATTTCTGCAGTGCTGTAGGGCTGCTTATTGATTACTTGGGTTTTCTGTATTTGATTTCACCTTTCTTAGTTCAGCATTACACTTCTCTTCAGGGAATCTCATGCTATTGGTTTCACATCATTTCTCCCATTTATCAAGATCATTTTGAGTTGTCCTCTGTATTGTTTGTATCTCTTACCAGCTTGGTGCCCTGGATATATATTATAACTGTACTCCATAGTCCATCATGCTGCATTAATGAATATATTACAGGAAACCCAATTCCAGAGAAGAAAAAAAAAAAAAAACACAACTGTCATTTGAAGTGCTTTCCCAGACTGCCAGTAACCACCGATACCTCCTGTCCTCAGGGATAACCTCATCCTCTATCGTGTTCTTAATATGGTTTCTGAGATTGCTCTTCACTACTTCCAAGTGCTTTAAATATTGAAATACTCTTTAGTCTGCTTTTTCCTATTCTGACTCCCAAAACCATACTGTCTCTATTTGCTACATGGTTTGATAAACTTAACTTTTTTTGCAACATTTGAAAGGCTGGTAACACATCGGTGTTATTCCTGCTTTACTTGCCATGGTCTGCATGCAATTGCAGTTTCTCCCTGTTCGTGGCTGTGCACGCTGCAGCGGTGAGCAGCAGCCAACACGGGCAGATCTCATTTTCTTTTGACGAAACTGCATTTTCAGTGGGTAACTGTTCTATCTTCTTTTTTTTCTCCAGTAAGCCTTAATTAGGAGAACAATGTTGTTGAAAGCCTTGTCTTGCCCTTCCCCTCCTGCACACGAAGACTTTCACAGACTCAGGGTTAGATTTTTTTTGTCAAACAGCTCAGCAAAGCTGACAGATTGACAGTCATTAAATATAAAAACTTTATTTTGCAATATCCCTAAATTACATGTTTCAAATGAAAAATGACACTTGCTTAAGGCATAACGTGTGGTTCTTGTTTTTTTCCCTGACTTCCACCTTTTTCCTACGAAGGCTTAAAGTATTATTCTTTTTATTATGGTAATGCAAAAACCTCTTTCTTGCATCTCAAATTAAAAAAGGGAAAGCTTGCTATGTGCCTTGGATAATGATTCAGCTATTGATCCCACAGATACTTTATTAGATTATTTTGAGACAGCCAAATGTAATTTAATACCTATTTATTTTCTATTCCTATGCCAGTCTGAGATACAATCTTTTCTGCATAAAATTAGTACTTTCTCCTTTCAACCTCAAAGAAAGATTACACTGTGCTCCTTTCTTGCATTAGTTAGTGGGAACTTCTTCAACAAAACATTGATCTTGAGAGTTCTTGATAGTCTTTTAATACTTTGAAGCCAAAACCTCAGCTGGGATCAGTGGGTTCTAGGCTTGTGTCTTTCTTATTATGCATTAATGCAAGAACTACTGATGTTATAAAAGGGAAAGAGATTCCATGTGAGAAAAATACTGAGGAAAAATAAGCAGGTGTCATACAGTCAGACAGAAAAAAGAGGAATAGAATTTTTTTTACATAGTTATCTGGAACCTACTGAAGGGGCTGCGTGATGGTACACCAGAACAGCAAGAGAGCACAAGAGTATCTAAGTCAGTCAAAATTAAGGTGTACTTTTATAAAACTGAGCCTAGCTACTCTACATGCAGCTATTACCAGGACACACCATCCTGCTGCCCACATCTCCCACAAGCAGCCTCACAGACCAGAAACTGCTGACTTTTCTGTAGGGTTACTTACTGCTAGTTAATTCTGCTTGCTCCAGGGTCAGATGGGCACCAGTGCAGGAGAAAAAAGCAGGAGCCAAAAGCTGTGGATGAGAGGCAGGGGAAGAGGGAATGCCAGAAGCTGGATGGGCTTATATCTAGCTTTAAAAAACCCTCCAACTTTAATAAAGATCATCAGGAATTGTGTAGGGACCTCACAAAAGCAGAAAAATGGAGAATTTAATGTTCCCAAATTTGGACTTACACACTGGAATACCTTGAACAATTAATTTATGTTATGATCTAGCAGCAGCCTGACACTGTAAGGCAGAATGAGGAATGGCTTGTTGACCTTCAGCAGTAGCCACAGCACTGAGAAAATGCAGGGTCCCCTCTCTTGGTTCTGAAACTGTCCAAATCAAGCTGCTGGGGGAGTTTCTGATAAAGCACTGGCAGTCAAAATTGTTCCCCTTCTAACGAAAGCTCTCTCAAACTCCTGGACTGCAGATACAGGGTTGTAGGTGATTTCCCTCCTTTGTGTTTGGACCCAGGAAATGAAGGGAAAACAGCAGGGGGAAAAAACTACTTTCTCTGAAACAAAGGGAAAAAATTACAAGTTAAATATCACACCGAATGCTCCTATAAAAATAATTACATGATGACTGTTCTTTTGTCACAGGAAGAACCATGAACCTTCCCTGCCATTCCTCCCTGCCCGAACAAATCGCTCAGCAGCAGCACTGCCTTGCCCTTTGCCTGCCCCTGCTGCCATCACCCAGGCTGTGAAGGGCTGGGGAGGCACCTCCCTGCTGCCATTGCACACACGTTTCATCCCTCCTGTTCATTACTGGACCTTCCTCTCATGTTTTTGGATTTAACCGCAGCAAACGTACAGGGGATCAAACCCATACTGGCTCTGAACCGACCAAAAAAATATTAAGCATCATTAGACAGAGCAGAGGTGGTGGACCTGAGTGGGATCGGGGGCTTTGATTTCCCCTCTGCCTCCCCCTCCCAGCGGGGTGCTGAGCTCTTTAACTCCTTGCTCAAACGGGCAGCAGTGAGGAGATGCTGACCTTCAGCCTGAACAGCGCGAGCTGAATGGGGAGCAAGCTCTGCCAACACAGGCATCTCTTAAAAATTGAACTCTGGCTTCCAGCAGTATGAATGCTTGTCCTAATTGTACCTCGTGCTGCATGTTAAGCTGTCCAGATGACACACACGCCGGTGTTAATAAGCCATTTGTCCATCTGGTGCTTGCACAGATGACATGCCTTCTCAATGGTAATTCAAATGCAAGAAGTATTAACTCTATATAGATGATGTCTGAAAAGAAGTTCCACAAAAATCAACTCCAAATTGTTGTTGCTGAACATGGATGCGACAGCAGCCAAATTGCACTGTGTAAATCCCAATATGCCTGCCCTGATCCCAGGAAAGGGTTTATTTCCAAGCAGTTTTAACTGGGAGAAGCCACCAGCAGCAGCCACTCACTGGAGATCGCACAAACAGAACAAGACACAAGTGCTGAGCACTTCTTACCTCCAAACAGCACCAGGACCCTGACCACCTGGGCAGTCGGCTGGTATTTCCAGGGGTGAGGGCTTAAAATAAAGGAATTGGACAGCACTACATGTGCCCAAAGCAGCTTCTGGCCCTTTCTGTGGTAGAAGAGCAAGCTATGGCTCATACATGGAGCCACATCTGCAAGGAATTATGGAGGCAGATCAGCAGCAGGGAGAATTCTGGGACAGATTTCTACTAGCAGCTGGGGTAGGTTTTACTCTTACTAACCAAACTTGCTGCAGAAAGTCTAGAAAATCAGATTTCAGAGCAGGAAGTCGCATGTCCAACTCCATGCATCTGTCAGCAGAAGACTGTTCCCTGCAGAGTATTTTTCTGGCACTGATTGGTTTAGGCACAAAGATAGCAGTCCAGAGCATCACTGTATAAGGTGAGAGAATCTCAATTTAAAACACTGCAAACAAAGCCAGCCTTGCTGGAGGGCAGTAATTGGAATTACTCACTTCTGTGCAAAGTTACAGACTAGTGATTCTAAGCAGTTAAGTTTCAGGGAAATATTACAGAAAATTTATATTCTTATAACACATTGTTCTACACAGAGCATCTTCACACTGCCTTTTGCCAAGTGGAAGTAATCAGACAAGGGTTTTTTCCTTTTCTCCTGCCTCTTACTATTCTAGAGAGCAAGGAAGTCCTCGTTAATAAAGGGAAACTTATGAACCTACATGAGAAAGTGGGGCATGCGCTGTGTTTTTTCTGGACAGAATAGCAGTCTTTTACTGATAAACAAACAGGATGAAATTTCTAATTACAGCCTGGAGCTAGGAAGACTTTTATGAGGAATATCATGCTGGAGTCTGAGCACCTGTTCTCAACAGAAAGACATGTTTCATCTCCAAAGGACAGACTCAAATTAGCATGGCTGCAACCTTTTATGAGGCCATAGCACCTCTCCAGTCATTAGACCAGACTGATTAAAACCACTTTGATCCCGTTCTCCTTGTACCAACCTGGCTTTCTCCCCAGCCTGGCACATTTGACTTTGCAGAAGGCTTTTGTTTCAATTTTACAACCCATTTAATAGCTTGAGCTCCTAAAATGGGCCCTTTCAGAACTACAGTACAGTACCATAAAATATTACAGGAGGTGACACCACAGCAGTCTGCTCTTTTCATTGCTTTGCATGACTGCAGGCAAATATTCATTCCTTTGGTACAACTTTAATCCATCCTGCTTTCCTCCCTCCCAATCAGAGTCAAACCCTACAGGCCCGGGGGGCTTTCCAATGCTACGCTGAGGGTCTGTGGAAATACAGGACGCACAGTCTGAGGAACAGCATCAATCAGGTTTCTGGTGTAGATCCCAAACTGCAGGACTCTTGGGTCTGATCAGGTACGTGCTCGCTGAGTTCTCTTTTCCGCAAAATGCCTTAAACAGGACTTAACAAAAAAGCAAAGCTACAATTAATATTCTGCTGGTGAGAGAGGGAAAGGAAGAGATCACTGAAACAGGAAACCTCTTGATGGATTTGTGCGCACTTTGATTGAAGAGCTACAAAGTGATGCATGGACAATCCCAATGCACTGTTCTCACATAGAGAAGGATGCAGCAGGATACAGGATGACCTTGGTATAAACAAGTGACCAGTATTTGACTAAAGAAAAGATAATTACTGCACAGAGCCTGGCTATCAAACTGTTCTACTTACTGGTAACATTTTAGTTCCCCTAAGTCACAAGAACATTTGTTCCTGGAGGTTTTCAGAATGATCTGTCAGGTAAAGCATCAGACTGGAGCCAAGACGAGGAGCTCTGGAATCGGTTTTTAACTTACCTGCTGTGATTTTCAGACATTTGCTGTATCTCTCATTCTTTTATCAATACTTAATATTCATTCTGCAGAGTCCAGACTCCCATGCAACACAATGAGGCCTGCCAGCACTCTCAGAACAAGTCAGCAGGAACAAGACTGACCAGAGACTTTAGAATTAAATAAGTGTTTTTACTTCCATGTGTCATAGTGCCAGACTTGTAACTCAAGCTAACAGCAGAATATACAGAGGATATTCAATACAGAGAAACTCAAGCACCTGAAAATTATCAGTCGGCACTATACAGCCAGAGAATTCTTCTTACAAGGTTTAATCCCTGTACAAAGGTTAACAACACACTGAACGATGCATTTTGGTTAATAGTTACACAGGTCTAAGAATCACTGACACGGGCTCTCCATTTAAACCTAGCCAGCATCTCTCTCCCCTATCTACTTTGCAGAGGAAAGGCTCTCACTGAATACTATCCAGATAAAAAGGGAGCATTAATGTGCCAACTTCAGTATATAGTTAATGACTTTGCACATATTTAAGATGTGGCCAGTTAACGTTTGAGTAAGCTCTGAATCCGTGTCAAGAGAGAAACTAACAGAACTCCAACAAGATACTGATGACTTACATACAACTCACTGAAATAATTTAACACATTTACAAGAAGAACAGTTAAGGTATGGCTAAGAGGTGTGCATTTCACCTGAAGCTCAGACGTTACTATCAGCACTTCCAGTATGCTTATTCCCTCTTCTACTACTACCCATTAATGCGGTAATTCACATGGATTTCAGGTTTGATGTCACACACTAGTGACAGCAGCTGGGAGAGGACCACCTCACGGTTCTTCTGGAAGTTCTGCTGGATTACACTCATCTTTTCCTGGGTCTCTTTCTCAACTTCAGTGGTGCAGCTGCCATGAGATCCAAGTGCCTACAGATAGCAAAGGAAAGACAAAGCTCACACGTGAGCAGTTTGACAAAGAAAATGTTACGCCTAACTCTGTATTTTGTTATTCTGGACTGCCTCAGTGCATCTCAACCACTAATCTCTGCTGAGGGAAAAACTACACTTAAAAAAAAGACGGTTGGATTCTCTGTTCAGATTTTGCACTAAACTTGCCCAAGTTTGTATTTCATCTGCAGCCTATGCCTTTTATCTTCTTTTATTCATTATCTATCAGTTTAGAGCATGAGCTTCTAAAGAATACCTGAAATAAAGGTCCTGCTATACTGGCAACTGGAACTGGGAACCCCTGGCCAGTACTGTACTAGATAGTGTAAGAAAAGTAACACTCATGATTTAGTGGGTTTTCACATCATCCCATTGCTTCTACCCTTGGAGACTCTTCCTAAAAATCTCTGCCTTCCTAACAGGCCTGTGGGCCACATGATACCCGCAGCAAGGAGTCTCACACAGCTTACAATGCCCTTCTCACCTCATAAGCAAGGGCAGAGAGCACAAATTCCCATTATAAGTGGGGGGGGAAGAAAGGCACGGAAAAAACATGCTGAAAGAGCCTAGCACCCTGGGATTCAAATTCAAAGAGCTCCTCTCTCTAGAGAAGGATAAATAAAACAAAACCAGCTGACAGGCAGTGAAGTACACTTTATTAGCATGGAATTGCCTGCTATCATATGCCTAGAGAACCAAACTAACAAGCAACTGTAAAAAATTAATCTTGACCTACTGACAGGAAGCCTATTATGCAGGAGAAGAGAAGAGATGGTTTTGTGCTAACCAGAAGATGGACAGAGGGGAGGGTCACCAGGTCATTTTATGAAGACTTCAGAACTGACAGGGGCACACAGTGGAAACAACCTTGGCTGGTGAAGGGCCCCAGTTCTGCACCTTTTGGGAATTCTTCCTCTTGCTCAGAAGGAAAACACAGCCCTTGAGACACAGCGGGCACCACTGCTAAGCAGAATGCAAGCCTTACACCTGCTTCAGCAAGAGAGCAGCGTCTACAGCGCAAGCAGTCTCCACCACATTAGCAGTGTATAAACGAACCTGTCACAGGAGGAATGAACTTGGTCTTTTTTTGCCACTGCTACATGCAGCAGGTTTGGGGAGGCTGCCACCCATCAGGGCATCAGCCAATACATGTGCTTATTAGGCTAATTCACTGCCAGGCAATAGTTCTGGCTGTTGCGATGCAATACACCGTGTTCTGACTCACTTCCACTGTTTTTTCCATGACATGTGGCTGTGTATCAGAGGAAGGCAGTTAGGGAAGCACTGCTCCGGCAACACATTCCACCCCGAGGGCTGCTCTCAGGGCACATAACCCCAAAGACAAGGCTAAAGGGCTGGGTAGGTGACAGTGAATGATCTAGAAAACAAACCGCTGCTTCCTTGGCTTTGAACTCCTTCTCCCTCTGCAGACGGTACTGCTCAATCTCTGCCTGGGCTTCTTCTTTTGCCTGCTTCAGCCTCCGATTCTTTCCTGTTTCCAAAAAACATATCAAATGAAATACAGAAGAGAAAGTATTGAGAGGGTAATTCTCTACACACAACAATGATTGCAGTGTTTGCTACTGCAGCAGCTCCCTTTGCAGGAGGCATCAGCAAGGCACCGCACGCCCTTCGCAGCCCCTCCAGCTCTGTCGTGTTAGCCAACCTCAGGAGCACGAGGTCACCCCACATGCCACTAAACCATCACCAAGCTCACCACGCAGTGAGCTTCCACCAGCAAGAACTGAAGAGGGCCTCTGGGCCAGTGTGAGCATGCAACCTCTCAGAGGGATCCCAAACAGCACAGTAAAAAAAAAAAAAACCATGAAATCCTAGTTCTGCCCGAGACCAACTGTTCAACTGATAGAAAAAACAGCTACTGCATCAGCTTCCTCTCTTGGACTTTCCACTGCACTGTCCCCTCCAAGGTTATCACTGTTAGAGTGAGCTACAACAACCTGCTTCTCTAAAAACTGTCAGGGGGTAGAACCACAACACAATGTGGCTTCATTCAAATAAACAAAATTTGTAAAGTAGGAATCCCTGCAACTAGAATTTCTATCACTTAACAGCAAAAGCAAGCTTGGCTCCCCATGGAGTAGCGCTCTCAGCTCTACAAAACATCTAACACCAGCATGGGAATAACACTGTTTTCCACTAGAAAAAAAAAAAAAAAAAAAAGAAAATTAGAAGTAGTAAAGCTGCAGACAAGCTCAAGCACCCCACAAGCAAAGATCCTGGTGCCAGGAAGGGCAGGGTGTCGGCGGTGGCCTCCTCGCAGGGCGCAGTGCCCCCGGAGGCTCCCCGCCGCCGCCGGGCTGCGGCCGCCTTCACCCCCACGCCCCTCGCAGCGGAGCCGGGCTCCGGGCGGCGCAGACCGTCCCCGCCCCGAGCAGCCCTCCCGGCCTCGCTTCTCCCCGGCGAGCGGGACACAGGCCCCCTCGGCCCCCTCCCCAGAGCCGCCCGGGCCTGAGGCAGCGGGGTGGGCCCGGCGCGGCCGCCTCAGGCCCCAGCAGCGCCGGGCCGGGCCGGGCCAGGCGGGCCGTACTCACGCTTGCGGGCCTCGGCCACCTTCTCGGCGGCGCGTTTCTCGGCCTGCAGGAGCTGCTGGATGCCCTGCGACTGGCTGGCCATGGCACCGGCTCGGGCTCGGGCCCCTGCCCCTGCCCCTACTACTTCTCCTTCTTCCTCCTCCTCCTTCCTCTTCCTCCTGCCCTGCCCTCAGCGCCGCCGCCACGTCACCGCGTCCGCTACGTCACCGCCGCCGCCGGCCCGGCCCGGCCCCGCCCCTCACGGGGTTTCCCGAGGGGGCCCGCGCTGAGGGGCCGGTCCCCGCGCGGGCGCTGTCGGTACCCCCGGCCGGGAAATAGGTGGAAAAGCTGAAGGGAACCTCCCATAAAACCTTTCAGGAAGACAAACGATGCAATTTATTTTTACCTCTTTCATGAGTTTTTTGGTGTTTTGTTTTTTTTGTTTGTGTTTTTTTTTTTGTTTTGTTTTGTATTTTTTTTTCTTTAATCCTCGGCCCCCGAACGCGCGTTGCCGTTAGCACCAGGCCCCCGCAGGGCAGCGGCAGCTCCTCCCCGCCTCACGGGACGCGGGGACACCGATAACCATCGGGGAGCACCTGCATTAGGGGCTCCCAGGGGAGCCGAGCCCCTTCAAACCCGCCTGCTTCACCCCAACCCTTGGCCGTCACATCCCAGGGACAATTTAAAGCCCCAAACACAGCTCCACTGGCGCTTTCAGTGCGTAAATTATAATTCTTGTCAAATAATACCGCTCTGGTGAAGCGTCAGAGCCATGACAATGAGTCACATCACTGCAGGGAGGAACGGGGGGCAGCTGATACACCCCTCCCGTCCCCCTGTGAGGGAAGGGACAGGAGACAATGAATCAAATGTGTGTTTGTAGCACTGAATAGGAATTACGAGTGTTTGGCAGGGTGACCTTGATCTGGGCCCAACGATTAACTAAATGGGCTTAGCAGGCTTGTCCATCAAGTGTTAGATTTGCTTCAGATAAAAGGAAAGACGGGGAGAAGAGCTTCAGTCATAAATTTGGGTTTTGAAGCAAGCCTGGGACCCGGCTGTTGGTGCAGATGGTGCAAAGGCGTGAGCAGGCAGCGGCTGATCCCACCGGCGTGGGGCTGTGCTGGCAGGAGGGAAACCTGGCAAATCTGATCATCGGTCACAAACAGGGCAGGGTCAGCCAAGGGGATGCAGCTCCAGTGCTGCGCTGGCCATCGGTGAGCACGGAAAGGGAAGGACTGAAAATGCAGGTGCGATTCAAAATATGCCACAGCACCGTGAGAGGTGGTGGGGTTCAGCTGGGCTGGATCCAAGCTGCTGTACAAGAGAAATGGCCCCAAAATTCAAGTTGTCTCGTCTGGCTCTGAATCTGAGGAGCCTCCTGCCCTCCTCTCACCTCAGACCTCTGCAAAAGCCACCAAATTAAGCTTTCCCACTGACTCCCTGCAGCCCTCAGATGATGCCTCCATCCCATTCCCATCTAGAAACTCACCATCCTCATTAGCTGCTGCCATTTTCTCAGGGATGTCCATCTGCTGCTAATTAAAGCACTTGAGCTGAACCCACAAATTACCTCTGCAGCAGGATGCTCTGAAGGCAATGTAACACATCAAGCCAGGTTTGCAGTGAAGGGGCCAAAATGGGCCCAGGTCTCCCCTGAAGTCACAGAGGTCACCAGGGTGTTATTTTTCTCCTGGGTGATTGCAGTTTTCAGACTCACTGCTTCTGTCTCTAAGATGAAGATAACGATGCCCTTTTCTGCCCCCGCAAATATCCTGGCTATGATCGCAGAGAGTTTTCAGACAAAAATCCCTCCCAACGCCCAGCTTTAGGTTGACCAAAAATATTTGATGACTTCTCAGCAATTTCATTTTGATGGTTAATAAGTGAGGCGATTATAGTTTGTATTTAAAACAATCTTCTGTTTGGTTGTGTTGCTTTTTAGTTTAAGATTGCTCAAAAGCTAATTGAAACCTCATGGTGTGTCACATGAAAACACATGTGAATCTTAGAGCTGTTTGACCAACTTATCACTTAAAATTTTGAAAAATTGCTGCTTACTTGTTGCAAATAAACGTTTCCAAGCCTTGAGCGTGCATTTGCATGAATGAGAGAGCTGCTTGTGCAGCTTTAATTCTATCAGCAATGGATTTATAATTAATTAGCATCACAAGTACTTCTGAACTTGGCTTTTATTCCCTCAGATTCATTATATATGAGCTTGTCACTCAGTATTACACAGTAAGCAGCTATTGCTGAAACTGATACTAGCATCCCATTATTTGTCCAGCACAATTTCTTAATACCGTAAACTTGACTAATCCTAAATTTCATGTACCTCACATTCAATTAAGACTGCAGGAAGAACATCTTTAGAAGGCTAAGGCTAGTCCCACTCTCTAGCATGGGAAAATAAATGGCTAAAATCTTTCTGGCACAAAGCTACTTCCCCTCGTGCTGCTGTGCCTGGGCTGGGTGATAACTGAATGCACGTGAATCCTGCCCGCTCTCTGCCTTCTGCCTCGCCCTGCCCCACCGATGCTTCAGCCTCTTTGGCTAGACATACACCCCAAGATATTTAAGCAACATGAAAAGTTTAGTATTTTAGAAGTATCATCTCTGTATCTGAAGTCTGTTGGGATCTGAAAGGTCCTGATGCCTGAGGAGCAAGGGAGGAGCGCTGGGCCAGGGCAGTGGCTCATGGCTCACGTGCCGGCCCTTGCCAGAAAGGGAGGCCTGGCCTGCAGAGCTTGAAGGAAACAAAAGGACTTTGGTTTTCTTCGCCTGTTTCCACAGATCACATTAGTGAAAGTGAGATTAAACACATTTCTTAATTTTCTTTTTCCAAAGACTTTATTTTCTTGCAAGCATTGAAGACTAATTTTCATTTTGGAGTGGTGTCTTTTGTCTTTCTGCTTTTGTTCTACACCTGGTCATAACTCCATGCATGTGTTACGCTGGTTTCTGAAATATCAGAGGATGTTTCTAGAATCAGGAAGGAAAAAAAAAAATACATATTTCCTTTATCTTTGTTTTTCTTCTAGTTTCCAAGCACAGAAAACATGTACTGTGTCTTAAGATCCTGCAGTCATTAAGGATTCTGAGACACATTTCCTAAGAATGAGATTTTAAACATTGTGTCTGGCTTCTTTCCAGATCAGGTAATTACATTTTTCCTCTCTAAATTCCCCTGCATTTTCAATTGGATACTTTATTATTCTCCTTTCCCTGACTTAAACTGTTATGCTGTGCAATTGTCTACTGTTTTAGAAAGGTTTTGTGCTGAACGCCTGGGAACCAAACTGGTTTCCTTCTGAGGTTTAATTCATTAACACAAATCACTTTGAGGCATTGAGGTGATGCAGCTGTTGGTTGTTGATAAATGATCATTAGTTGGTCATTAAAAGACTACCAATGAATAATAATTAATTAGAATTCATAGTTTGGAGGGATATTTTAAATTTATAAACTGAGTGTTAGAAATCTGAGTACAACACTGCAATAAAATTTACATAGAGAAAAATCAACAAAAGCTTTAACTGCACATGTCAGTACCACTTGACTGTACCTGACCTACACCAAGAATTTGGCCTAAATACCTCAAAATAAGAAAGACTCTCATTTTCTATGTGGAGCTTCTTTATGATCCACAGCAACTTAAAGCCCAAAGTAAACCTGATTGCAGTGATGGAATTACACCAGAAGAATAGACTCATGTTTATATTGTAAGAAGTGATTTTTTTTTTTTTTTTTAAAGCAATTCAAGAAGCCATATGTCTGGTGTCAACTCTTACTATCTTTGGGAAAAACCTGCTGCTTTGGGGTGCTGCTGGGCTTGTTTCAATGGTTTGCCAGGCACCCTGGAGGCTCCCCGAGCTTTACCCGCCAAGTGGGGTACTCCCCCGGGTTATCCTGTCCCGCAGCAACCTCCTTATTGCACCAAGCTGTGCTGCAGCCCCTTCTGCTGAGCTCCCACATACGGACCCCCGTGGTGGACGTGTTCCCCCGGCACTAACCAGTTGCTTTTGGAGCACAGTACCAAGGGCCGGGTCATGGCAGAGCCCCTGGGCTGGAGCTCAGCCCTGCCACAGGGCACCTTCTCCTGGAGGGCGCCAGCCCTGGTACCTGTCACAAACCCACTCTTGCCTCAGCACCTACAGCAACAAACTGAGGTCTCAGTTTCCTATAAATCAGGATCTCTTCATAACAGTCAGGGAAGCTGGCGACTCTGTTTATGTATTCTTCTGTTCTGATGAAATGTCAGCAGACCTTATTAATTCCTTGTGTACCAAAACACATCTTCATATTTCCTTGACATTTATTGGTGTCCATTCTTAATCAGAGGTCAAGTGTCCTTTTCAAGGGATGTGCCTGGAAAGTTTAATCCACTGTCTGATGAGTGATTTAACACTGTTGCCTGCAGGTTACCAGCTGCTGGTGTGTCCAATGTCTGTGAAGCCACTGGGGGGTCCCAGCATTAGGGAGCACAGCTGTGTTGGCAGTCATGGACTCAGCCACATCCACACAGCGTACAGGCTGTCTGGACCAGGACTTTTAGATACGACAAAAAACAAAGCAGGTCCTGTTGTACACTAGCAAGTAGCTTCTGTAATGGGTGGCACCAAAGCCTTGACTGCTGAAGGCAACTACCCGTTCTTCATCAGCTTCTGCAAGAACAAGAGCATTACTCCTGCTCTGCTGGGAAGAAGCACACAGTCCAATACTGTTTTGCCTAGCATACCAAGATCTCTTGTCTTTACAATTCAGCTTTTTCTGCCCCAAACTGCTGAGTAATGTCATTGTGTAACACAGTACAGCCACTGCTTTCAGGTGGCTGAATTTCAGTGATGGATGAAATAATAGATTGTTTGGTGCTTTGAGAGATGTTTGAATAAATAATACACTGCAGTATAAGACGCATTATCAATATTGCTTGAAAAGATCAAAAATATCTGAGGCCTCAGTTTAATTTGCATGCTTATCATAGGCTCTAGAGAAATGAAAAAATATGACAGTAACAAAATACTGCAGCAGTGATGCTGACCAGCTTTAAGCAGTGGTGGAGAGCTGGTGTACTTCTAGGCCACGAGGAAACATGTTGTGAGTGCTGGGGGATCCTTCTCAAACACTTGTTCAAATAAAAGTGATGCTGGAAAGCGTCCAACTGACAGCATCTGGGGCTCTAGCAAATATCCTGCTTGCCTCTGGGGCC